TGATGGATAACTCTCCCTTTAGATTTTCAAAATCAGCGGTTCAAGCAATGCAGTAGGCTCATATAGGTCGAAAAATTATTATTTTCCTGATTGCCCTAAAAATCCCAAAAAATTCGTAGACACTTATTCAGACTCATAATGAAAGAATTTGATGTCAGATCTGATGGATAACTCTCCCTTTAGATTTTCAAAATCAGCGGTTCAAGCAATGCAGTAGGCTCATATAGGTCGAAAAATTATTATTTTCCTGATTGCCCTAAAAATCCCAAAAAATTCGTAGACACTTATTCAGACCCAGAACGGAAGAATTTGATGTCAGATCTGATGGATAACTCTCCCTTTAGATTTTCAAAATCAGCGGTTCAAGCAATGCAGTAGGCTCATAAAGGTCGAAAATTTATTTTTTTCCTGATTGCCCTAAAAATCCCAAAAAATTCATAGACACTTATTCAGACTCATAATGAAAGAATTTGATGTTAGATTTGATAGATGAATCTCCCTTTAGATTTTCAAAATCAGCGGTTCAAGCAATGCAGTAGGCTCATAAAGGTCGAAAAATTATTTTTTTCCTGATTGCCCTAAAAATCCCAAAAAATTCATAGACACTTATTCAGACCCAGAACGGAAGAATTTGATGTCAGATCTGATGGATAACTCTCCCTTTAGATTTTCAAAATCAGCGGTTCAAGCAATGCAGTAGGCTCATATAGGTCGAAAAATTATTATTTTCCTGATTGCCCTAAAAATCCCAAAAAATTCGTAGACACTTATTCAGACTCATAATGAAAGAATTTGATGTCAGATCTGATGGATAACTCTCCCTTTAGATTTTCAAAATCAGCGGTTCAAGCAATGCAGTAGGCTCATATAGGTCGAAAAATTATTATTTTCCTGATTGCCCTAAAAATCCCAAAAAATTCGTAGACACTTATTCAGACCCAGAACGGAAGAATTTGATGTCAGATCTGATGGATAACTCTCCCTTTAGATTTTCAAAATCAGCGGTTCAAGCAATGCAGTAGGCTCATAAAGGTCGAAAAATTATTTTTTTCCTGATTGCCCTAAAAATTCCAAAAAATTCATAGACACTAATTCAGACCCAGAACGGAAGAATTTGATGTCAGATCTGATAGATAACTCTCCCTTTAGATTTTCAAAATCAGCGGTTCAAGCAATGCAGTAGGCTCATATAGGTCGAAAAATTATTTTTTTCCTGATTGCCCTAAAAATCCCAAAAAATTCATAGACACTTATTCAGACCCAGAACGGAAGAATTTGATGTCAGATCTGATGGATAACTCTCCCTTTAGATTTTCAAAATCAGCGGTTCAAGCAATGCAGTAGGCTCATAAAGGTCGAAAATTTATTTTTTTCCTGATTGCCCTAAAAATCCCAAAAAATTCATAGACACTTATTCAGACTCATAATGAAAGAATTTGATGTTAGATTTGATAGATGAATCTCCCTTTAGATTTTCAAAATCAGCGGTTCAAGCAATGCAGTAGGCTCATAAAGGTCGAAAAATTATTTTTTTCCTGATTGCCCTAAAAATCCCAAAAAATTCATAGACACTTATTCAGACCCATAACGGAAGAATTTGATGTCAGATCTGATGGATAACTCTCCCTTTAGATTTTCAAAATCAGCGGTTCAAGCAATGCAGTAGGCTCATAAAGGTCGAAAATTTATTTTTTTCCTGATTGCCCTAAAAATCCCAAAAAATTCATAGACACTAATTCAGACCCAGAACGGAAGAATTTTATGTCAGATCTGATAGATAACTCTCTTTTTAGATTTTCAGAATCAGCGGTTCAAGCAATGCAGTAGGCTCATATAGGTCGAAAAATTATTTTTTTCCTGATTGCCCTAAAAATCCCAAAAAATTCATAGACACTTATTCAGACTCATAATGAAAGAATTTGATGTTAGATTTGATAGATAAATCTCCCTTTAGATTTTCAAAATCAGCGGTTCAAGCAATGCAGTAGGCTCATAAAGGTCGAAAAATTATTTTTTTCCTGATTGCCCTAAAAATCCCCAAAAATTCGTAGACACTTATTCAGACTCATAATGAAAGAATTTGATGTCAGATCTGATGGATAACTCTCCCTTTAGATTTTCAAAATCAGCGGTTCAAGCAATGCAGTAGGCTCATAAAGGTCGAAAAATTATTTTTTTCCTGATTGCCCTAAAAATCCCAAAAAATTCATAGTCACTTATTCAGACCCATAACGGAAGAATTTGATGTCAGATCTGATGGATAACTCTCCTTTTAGATTTTCAAAATCAGCGGTTCAAGCAATGCAGTAGGCTCATATAGGTCGAAAAATTATTTTTTTCCTGATTGCCCTAAAAATCCCAAAAAATTCGTAGACACTTATTCAGACTCATAATGAAAGAATTTGATGTCAGATCTGATGGATAACTCTCCCTTTAGATTTTCAAAATCAGCGGTTCAAGCAATGCAGTAGGCTCATATAGGTCGAAAAATTATTTTTTTCCTGATTGCCCTAAAAATCCCAAAAAATTCGTAGACACTTATTCAGACTCATAATGAAAGAATTTGATGTCAGATCTGATGGATAACTCTCCCTTTAGATTTTCAAAATCAGCGGTTCAAGCAATGCAGTAGGCTCATATAGGTCGAAAAATGATTTTTTTCCTGGTTGCCCTAAAAATCCAAAAAAATTCGTAGACACTTATTCAGACTCATGATGAAAGAATTTGATGTCAGATCTGATGGATAACTCTCCCTTTAGATTTTCAAAATCAGCGGTTCAAGCAATGCAGTAGGCTCATATAGGTCGATAAATTATTTTTTTCCTGATTGCCCTAAAAATCCCAAAAAATTCATAGACACTTATTCAGACCCAGAACGGAAGAATTCGATGTCAGATCTGATGGATAACTCTCCCTTTAGATTTTCAAAATCAGCGGTTCAAGCAATGCAGTAGGCTCATATAGGTCGAAAAATATTTCATTCATCCGGCGTTTCCCAGGTGGCACTGACCACTCGCAGGGATCGTTTCAAGTACGACCCTGAAGTGACAGGTCCCAGAGACGTCATCGAGGCCATCAACAAGCTCGGCTTCGCTGCTCAGCTGTTCAGCAGAGATGGCGGCGGCGCGAACTACTTGCAGCAAAAGGCGATTAGACCTACTCTCCTTGAACCTAACCTATATAATATTGATAAACCTAGAATCTCAAGACTAAGAGATTCTAGGGAAATTTCGTGAATCGATTGTCAGCTGATATCATATATCAAACAAGTCGAAGCCCTGAGGGGGCAGAAGGACGATCTAGCCTTCATAGCCATCTAGTGGCTTGAGTGCAAGGTGTATAGGTAGATTCATCAAGCATAACTTGCGAGTAAGTCGTGCATATAGACCCCTACGTCTATATGCTTACAGAAAAGACATCCATGTCAGATTCTGTAGACTATCGCAACACCTGTAATTCTCAAAGTGGTTTAATGTTCCACTAACAGATGGTGATAAACCTAGAATCTCAAGACTAAGAGATTCTAGGGAAATTTAATATTATTATAATATTATTTTTCCATTGCTTGCACTCACCATTTGTATGGTATCATCGACAAGAGGAATTTTTTTTTCTTTACTACAGGTCAATAATAAAATAGATACTCCTGAGAGTTAGTATTGATAACAAATGATATCGTTTATCATGTCTAGAATGCTCAGAATTTGATTCTTTTGTGAAATGTCACTCATCTGACAGCTACCAACGACTTTCAATAAGAACATGTACCATTTACAAGAAAGTGAAGATGTTGAAGCATCTCGGGAAGTAATAATGCTGCTTAGAGAAATGGGTAATGTAACTTGGCACACAGATCGTTCGCCCAAACGTTACATATATGGCATTTGAATGGCAACATAGCTAGAGAGACTTATTCGGTCGGCTTTCCTATGACTTCGCCAGTGTTGCCAGGCCAACAAAGGAATTAGCGGTAGATTAAAAAATGAAACGGTCGATAAAGTTTGGAAATTGCAGTTTTTGCCAAGTACTAGTAGTTTGCTAGTTACGTAATTAGGTAGGTAATCAACAGAAGTAAAAAAGAAACATTACGTCACATGGAATCATGAAGCTTCCAAAAAGATAACTCAGGCAAAAAATCAGTAAAAAATTGAGTGCTTGCCACGACTCTTGGGTATTCATAGATTATCAACGTTTCCCAGGTGGCACTGACCACTCGCAGGGGCCGTTTCAAGTACGACCCTGAACTGACAGGTCCCAGAGACGTCATCGAGGCCATCAACAAGCTCGGCTTCGCTGCTCAGCTGTTCAGCAGAGATGGCGGCGGCGCGAACTACTTGCAGCAAAAGGCGATTAGACCTACTCTCTTTGAACCTAACCTATATAATATTATTTTTCCATTGCTAGCACTCACCATTTGTATGGTATCATCGACCTGAGGATTTTTTTTTCTTTACTCCTGAGAGTTAGTTTTGATAACAATGATATCGTTCATCATGTCTAGAATGCTCAGAATTTGATTCTTTCGTGAAATGTCACTCATCTGACAGCTACCAACGACTTTCAATGAGAACATGTACCATTTACAAGAAAGTGAAGATGTTGAGGCATCTCGGGAAGTAATAATGCTGCTTAGAGAAATGGGTAATGTGACTTGGCACACAGATCGTTCGCCCAAACGTTACATATATGGCATTTGAATGGCAACATAGCTAGAGAGACTTATTCGGTCGGCTTTCCTATGACTTCGCCAGTGTTGCCAGGCCAAGAAAGGAATTAGCGGTAGATTAAAAAATGAAACGGTCGATAAAGTTTGGAAATTGCAGTTTTTGCTAACTACTAGTAGTTTGCTAGTTACGTAACTAGGTAGGTAATCAACAGAAGTAAAAAAGAATTATTACGTCACATGGAATCATTCCAAAAAGATAACTCGGGCAAAAAATCAGTAAAAAATGGAGTGCTTGCCACGAATCTTGGGTATTCATTCATCTGGCGTTTCCCAGGTGGCACTGACCACTCGAAGGGGCCGTTTCAAGTACGACCCTGAAGTGACAGGTCCCAGAGACGTCATCGAGGCCATTAACAAGCTCGGCTTCGCTGCTCAGCTGTTCAGCAGAGATGGCGGCGGTGCGGACTATTTGCAGCAGAAGGAGGAAATCCGGAAATGGCGCCGGAGCTTTCTGTTCTCGCTGGCGTTCGGCGGGCCGTGCATGGTCGCCATGTTGTACTTCATGGTGCAGATGTCGGCGGGGAGTATGTCGCACGAGGATATGTGCTGCATCGTGCCGGGTGAGTTCAATCAATCAATGCGGGAGTTTCCTTTCGATGAATTTTCATGGAATAAGTTCGGAACTCTCCAGTTTCATGTCCACGCTGTACAGAATGGCAACCGATGAAGTCCAAGTCGCTTTCATTTTCAAATTTAAGCAATTTCTAATTTTCGGGGCGGCAAATTGTGACGTACATTCTGAATCTAGTCTGGAAATAGCTGATGCTGAAGAATATAGCTAGCAAATAGCTAAAGAATGTAAAACAATAGCAGAAGTAAAACTGGTAAACAAACACATATAAATAACCACAAATGTACTCGGAGCAGGAATGCAGAAGGTAGTTGGCTTCATTCTGACAGGTTATGGTTTTGATATTTATGCATTGAAATATCTCGAGTAGAGTACGATCCTGAACGAAAATATCATCGATTCAATGAATCACTATTGGCTACATTCAATGATACTATCCTTCCTAATCTACTGCCATCGATCAGAACAGATTGAACCCGACACCCATGGCTCCTTCCTCTTCTTGTGCCTGTCAGTATTTTGAGTGGTGTGGACGAACTCGAAGTATAAGGCGCTGTTGCAAGATATAATCTGCAACTTTCCTAGAAAATAGATCCATTTTATTAAGGAACGAACTCATTAGCATAAGAATGATTGACAAGTTATGAATAACATATTGTATTATGACGATAGTGAGAAATTATAGATACTATCGCAAAATTTCATAATTTATCTTCATTAGTAATCAACTTCGTCCAGCCAATGAGTGATTCATAGAAATTAGTCACAATACTTGGCAAAGTAGGATTTAAGAACCTATTATGACCAATTGCTGTTATGATATAGTTATTATGCATTCAAAGAACAATTTCCGGAGATCTATACATATTGATGATGTCGGCAACGTCGTACTGGCATTCTGTGTGAATGTCGATTTTCAGGAAGTATGTCATAGAAATGGTGGAGGAGCCATGTTCCTCTTTTATTTATTTTTCTCTGAAGTGAAATTTGGTCTCAGAAAAAAAGAAAAAATACGTATATATTAATTCTTTACAAACTTCGCGGTGAGATAAAATCCTCAATATTGGAAACTTCCCCATTAAATTCAATTGTCTTTATTTCCAATCAGACTTATACATACATATGTATCGGATATTGTCAGGTCAATTATGAATAATTTGTTGCAAAACGAACATCATGGTATACAAATATATAATAATATAATATTAGATCATGTATAATAAACAGTGTATATAGAAACAAAAATAAATGAAAGATAGTATATAGGTGGCCAGGTAGCCGTGCGGACAGAGTGTCCATATTCTAATCCGCATTCGCTTGCCGGTCGTGGGTTCGAGTCCCGTCGACTGCAGAAATTTTTCTGATGGCCCAAGAAAGTGTTTGGGATCACACGTTAAAAGGTAAGGCCCCCGTCATTCCTTGCTCGCACAAGACTCTCGAAGACTTCTGAGGGTTGCTCGTAAGGGGGCAACCGAATGACGGATAGAACAACAATTTTTTTTTAGGAGTGTACACGTAAAGGTGGTTATACCAGGTTACAACACATATATTCCGGAACCGAATAAAAAACCCCGTTAACTAAAAGTTTTCGAACTTCGTATTTGAATTTGTTCACATTTGATAATATTTTAAGCCTAGTGGGTAAGTGGTTGTATAGTTTGATCGGCAAAACCAACGGACTGTTAGCCACAGTTGACAAACGATGAGATGGTATATTGTTATTGAAGTTTTGTCCTTAGTTGTGTTCAATATTTTCACGAGACTTGTTGAGAATAGCTGGGTTATTTTTTATATATAATATGCAATTATAAATGAAGAGAGAGGGGAACCTTGAAAGCTCAAGTTGTAACATTTGAGGTAGCGAGATATGAATAATGTATATAAATTGAAATTGAAATTTGGCCATACTTTACAAATTTAGTGTAAGTATAATCTTTAGCAGAAATGATTATTCATATGTTCTTTTCGATATTCATCCTGTACAAAGTAAATCAATCCCCAGTATTTGTACAGCTAGAAACAGCACAAACTTACATCTAATTATTCTCCCAATGGTCTCAATAATGGTCCTTCGAGCCGGATCATGTAGGATTTTGCCAACAGAATCGGTGATCAGAATCCCACTTTTTCGAATCTTGCTGTGACAGCAATATCTTCTCTCCACTCACATTGCTATTGCCCTGTCCACGCCAGTCATTCCAATCATTTTTTTGATTTTTCAATTGCAGTAGTTTTTCATAAATTCGATCATTAAAACTGCGAATTTTAGTCAATAACTCACTGGATAGTTGCATTTTACTCTCTATTCTTTTCTTCCATTTGTTTCTAGAATCATTCACTGTTTTCACTAGCAAACATCGATTTTTGAGTAGTTATTTATTTATTTATTTATTTATTGAACAAATAACTTCCAGACAGAATAGGCTCTGGTATAAGGAAGTACATAATTATATACCTATAGGTAAACATAGCATCATTCAAAATATATCAACAACTGTAAATTGGCAAACAAAGAATAATATTTGTAAAAAAAAAAATGGCATGATTAATTTTATCCAGTCCGCTGAGAAATAATCAGTTTTTTTACTTCATTTTTGAATATACCTATATTTCTGCAATTTTTTATATTATCAGGTAGTTTATTGAATTCAGTTAAGGCTGAATGAGTGAATCTTTTTTGTCCGATTAGGGAGCTAGCGGCGTCAAGATGGAACAAGTTATATTGTCTAGTTTGATGATTATGAATTTCAGAATTCCGTATCAAAATAATATTCGACTTCAATTTTTTATTTATGATATTATATGATATTTTGAGAGTTTCAATTCAATATATTTCATCTAAAGAATACGTATTTGTTATTTCATACAATTGATTGGTTGGTGTATCAAATGGGAGACGATACAATACTTTTAATTTCTGATTATCAAGTCTTTTATTCAAAATATGTCCGAAATTTATTTCAATTTTCACATGTTCCTCGTTCCATTTTTGAGCTGAACCAGTTGGTTCTTCTCGATACACATCCTGTAGCAAGTAAATCAATTCCCAATATTAGATCAGCTAGATCAGCACATACTTGCATCTAATTATTTTCCGAGTGATCCCAATAATGGTCCTTCGAGCCGGATCATGTAGGATTTCGCCTACAGAATCAGTGATCAGAATTCCACTTTTTCGAATCTTGCAGTGATTTTTCAGGACTATCGTTGGAGAACTTCATCATGTGGGCCCTCTCCACACCAGTGCTGGTGTTCGGTGGCCGCCATTTCTTCGTGCAAGCGTACAAAGCCCTTCGACACGGCACCTCCAACATGGACGTGCTCATAGCGATGGCGACGTCGATATCGTACGCGTACAGCGCATGCGTCGTCATAGCCGCGATGGCGATGCAACAGCACACCTCGCCGCAGACGTTCTTCGACACGCCCCCCATGCTGCTGGTGTTCATCAGCTTGGGAAGGTGGTTGGAGCATGTGGCCAAAGGGAAGACGTCCGAAGCGCTCAGCAGGTTGGTGGAGTCAGTTACAGGCACTCATGATGATTTTTTTCATTTCTAGCCCTAGAAACTACCATTGTTGTTAATTTTTTATTGACAGAATAGCTTCCAGTCTCTCTGCAAGAGAATATGTTTCTTGACTTTAATTTTGAATTGGGTGATATTTGTGCAACTTTTGATATCATCAGGTAATTTATTGAATTTTGAGATAGCTCCGTGAGTGAACTTCTTTTGGCCAAGTGTAGAATTAGCAGCATCAAGATGAACCAAGTCATATTGTCTAGTATGATGTTCATGGATTTGAGAATTTCTTATCAATTTGAAGTTAGATTTGAGGTGTTTGTTGATAATATAAAAAGAAATTTTGAGAGTATTTATCAGATAGTGCTCTTCCAAAGAAAATGTATTTGTTTCTTTATAAAATTGATTTGATGGGGTGTCATATGGAAGACGATACAGTACTTTTAATGCTTTTTTATATAGTAAGTACAGATATTTTTTTGAAATTATTCTTGGAACATGAACCCCAAATATACAGTGTGTCCCACTTACCATGCTCACCATGGGTATCTTTTTAACGGTGAGAGATACGAGGTCGGTTAAATGACACCAAATGTGGAGTTTGTCAAGGCCAACTATAATTTGAAAAAATATTTTGATGAAATCTATTCGTTTTTGTTTTATACGCAAAAAACAGATTTTGATCATTTTCATGTCTCCTCTGTAACTTCTTTATTTATGAAAATATTCAAATGGGAATTTCACATTCTCATGGCAGTTTTTCAAAGTGATTTTGAAAAAAATTTGAAATCTATACCAACTCTTCTAGAATTTGAGATATCAGCACCAACTTTAGCTTTTCAAATGTAGGTCATAGCTCACTATGACTTAGTTACAAATAACTTTTTTTCCTCTCACAGATGATATGTCGCAGTAATAGTTTTGTGTTGATAACAACGGAGTTATCGTCATTTATACAAAAACAGAAGATTATTTGGGAGCCACCATCTTGAATTTATAAATTTCAACAAAAAAATCATGATCTGCGACCTCAAGAACCCCCACTTACCAATTTTGAACGGAATCGGACCAAATCTTGTCCGCCATCTTGGAGCAGCCATTTTTTTTATTTCAGCGAAAATTCCATAACTTCGATTAACTTGAAATTTGGCAGGTGGTCATAATTTCGATGACAATTCATTATGGAATTTTTGTTGAAATTAAAAAAAAATGGCTGCTCCAAGATGGCGGACAAGATTTGGTCCGATTACATTCAAAATTGGTAAGTGGGGGTTTTTGAGGTCGGAGATCATGATTTTTTTTGTTATAATTTATTAATTCAAGATGGCGGCTTCCAAATCATTTTTTGTTTTTGTATAAATTACGATAACTTCGTTGTTATCAACACAAAACTATTACTGCGACATATCATCTGTAAGAGAAAAAAAGTTATTTGTAACCAATTCATAGTGAGCTATGACCTACATTTGAAAAACTAAAGTTGGTGCTGATATCTCAAATATTAGAAGAGTTGGTATAAATTTCATATTTTTTTCGAAATCATTTTGAAAAACTGCCATGAGAATGTGAAATTCCTATTTGAATATTTTCATAAATAAAGAAGTTACGGAGGAGACATGAAAATGATCAAAATCTGTTTTTTGCGTATAAAACAAAAACGAATAGATTTTATCGAAATATTTTTTCACATTATAGTTGGCCTTGACAAACTCCATATTTGGTGTCATTTAACCGACCTCGTATCTCTCACCGTTGAAAAGATACCCATGGTGAGCATGGTAAGTGGGACACACTGTATATTTTTTTATCGCTTGAAGCGCACGAAAGGAAGACCCTGTAATGTTCAAAGAACATCGTGATAGTTCATTTTACTAAGGATGTGAGAGTATAGAACGGTATTTGCTATATTTGGGATAAGTTTTGGACATCTTCTCAGGGCACCAACTATGGGTGAAATTGTTTCTTTGAGCATGCCAATATGCTTGATATCAGCTCTTGAGTTTTTATTTTCATCTTATTGCTTTTGATTACAGAGGTAAACATTGCACTTAAGATTTGTTCATGTGAAGGAAACTTTGACTATTCAAGGTTATGGTGATTCATCATCTGGATACCTGTCTGAAAAAACAATAGTTAATGACTGTGTTCAACTTTATGGCTGGATTATATATATTTGGGGTCATTCTCTAGGCTCTGCTGTGGCAGCAGAGACTGTTGCTACTTTGAAAAAAAATTATGAAAGTCCAAGTGGATTGATTCTAGAATCTGCATTCACTAGCCTTGAAGAAGAACTATATGTCCATCCTTATGGAAAGGTACACTCAAATTCTTGAAGGGTCAATTTTCGCTATAAATCGCTGGTTTATTAAACAATAAATAATAATAACAATAACAATATATTAACATAACATAACATATTATATTATATTATATTATATTATAATCATTCAGATGTTTGATTCAAATGAATGGATATCTTTAAATGTCTTACTGAAATAGACTCACACTAGGCCATGTGGCCTGTTTTGTGGTGTCAGACTTAGTAAGACATTTGTGCAAAGTATTGTATCTTTTATTTTATTTTATTTTTTTTTAATGCTGACAATTCGCTACAGTAAAGTAAAGTAAAGTAAAGTCTAACGGAATGTATAACAAAATTCGAATATAACAAAAATTACAGATGAAAGGAAAAAGGAAAAGGAGAGAGAAAAAGATAGACTGTAAATTTGAGATTTGAGATTCAAAAGAGATTAGACAATTTGGATTTTATTCTCTTGAATTAATTATTTATTTCTTTTATTTGAAGAGGTACATTTCACTATTTGAGAAAGAAAAAAGAGAGAAAAAAAAATTATTAGATATATTTATCAAAGAAAGGTGGGAATTTTTCCGGGTGATTTTGTACATATATTTTAGTTTCTTTTTTGAAAATATAAAAAGAATTAATGTCTATTTACGAAAAAAATTGTCCACCTTGTCAAAGTCACCAGCTAGAGGACAATTAATGTAATATATGACTAATCCTTACAGGTTACTTTCTTTGAAGGCTACAGATGCTGTGCTCATTAGTTTGGGCAAAAATAATGAAATACTCAGTGAACAACTAGTGAATGTGGATCTGGTTCAAAGAGGTGATCTCTTGAAAGTGGTGCCAGGTGCGAAGGTACCGGTGGATGGCAAAGTAATACAGGTAAAATTAGAAATTATATTTGTTCTATCGAAAAAATATTGTTTGTAACTAGTTAGGAAACGCGTTCTATAATATATGTTGCTATGCAATGTAACAACTCTGAATCACTGAAAATATTTCACAGTTCAAAACTGTAACAGGTATTGATTATTGTATCGAGTTATTACAGTATGGAATCATATGAAAATGAAATTTCCTTCAGTTCTATTGAGTAACTAGCACCATTTCTTGGTCATTACTGGAACTCTCAGTTGTTACAGTATAGCACGTTAAAGCTAACAAAATGATGAATCAGATAGCGTATACAACTCAAAATGGTTATTTTTCGAGTTGAACTATTGAACTATGGTATCGACATACAAACAAACAAACAAACAGTAAAATCTTTCCTCTATAATTTAATGTGCTGTCTTCAATTCGATCGTAGTTCGAGTTATCGAAACATGTTCAGGAGTGCAGGGAAGAACAACAGAAGATAGTTTTACTTTTACTTACTTTTTACTGGTTTATTATTGAATAGTTATTAATTCTTTCAGAGTTAGAACCGGAATGTTCTCTGTAAACTACAATACCTAATTGCTAACCTCCCTATTACTATTGACAATGAATTGATGAATAATCTAACTATCCTAACACTTTCGGAAAAGCTGTGTTGGACTGTTTCGAAATGGTACCTGATTTCAATGATATAATTAAACAATATATCATAAACATCCACTACAATAATATTAGTTTGGAATCTTTGTTTGTTACTCATTGTTATGTGTCTGTTAGTATTTAATTTCTTGACGAATCCAATCTACCGTATATCTTATGGAGTAATAAAAATGATGATGATGATGATGATAATGATGATGATGATGATAATAATTCCAGGGCCAGTCGATGTGCGACGAGAGCCTGATCACCGGCGAGAGCATGCCGGTACCCAAAAAAATCAGCAGCGCCGTGATCGGCGGCAGCATCAACCAGCACGGCCTGCTGATAGTGGAAGCGACGCACACGGGCGAGGCGACCACCCTGTCGCAGATCGTCAAGCTGGTGGAGGAGGCGCAGACGTCGAAGGCGCCCATCCAGCAGCTGGCCGACAAGATCGCCGGGTACTTCGTGCCGACGGTGGTGGGGTTGTCGGTGCTCACGTTGGTCGTCTGGTCGATCGTAGGTGAGGTTACAGCTCAGACTTACGAAGTAATGAAATAAAAGGTGTCACTATCCCGTATATGATGAGATTCGGGGACGTCAAGTGTGACTGACATCCGATTCCGATTGAATTGAAGTCGCGTTTGAGAGTTATCATTCTTGTCTTTCAATCATGGCGTACTGATATTGTCGTTCAGATATGGATGTATCTCAGAACGGTCAGCACAGACCACCGCCGGCATCATCGTTCCTGCAACGGCGGCTCAGCACCCAAAGCCCATCGCCATTCAAGGGGTTTCCAGCTCCATCAGATGTGGAGCTGGATTTGGAAGAACCTCTTCGACGACATGGCGCCCAACGTGGGGCAATGAATTTTTCAGGATTGAAAGAACCGTACCCACAAAAAACTCCATGGCCGAACTGTAGAAGATATAGAATAGTAATTCACTGATATCTTACCTTGTTAGTTATGATGTCGCAGACTGACCTCTGCGAGGTGTCACCACCCCGTATACGATGAGATTCGGGGACGTCAAGTTTGACTGACATCCGATTCCGATTGGATAAAAGTCGTGTTTGAGAGTTATCATTCTAGTCTTTCAATCATCGCGTATTGATATTGTCGTTCTGATATGGATGTATCTCAGAACGGTCAGCACAGACCACCGCCGGCATCATCGTTCCTGCAACGGCGGCTCAGCACCCAAAGCCCATCGCCATTCAAGGGGTTTCCAGCTCCATCAGATGTGGAGCTGGATTTGGAAGAACCTCTTCGACGACATGGCGCCCAACGTGGGGCAATGAATTTTTCAGGATTGAAAGAACCGTACCCACAAAAAACTCCATGACCGAACAGTAGAAGATATAGAATAGTAATTCACTTGAGAAAGGTTGAAATAACTTACTTTGCTTGCAAAAATAAGACAAAATACAACATTACCTCAATTCAAAAACAATTTTTGGTGACTTTCACACACACACACACACACACACACAAACACTCTTCGAAATGGATGATATACCCGAAGCGTAGAGTTGTCCCAGTTGTCAGCAGACCGAGAGCGGCTGATGAGACCTGGTGGGTCCTGCTGACAATTGGGACAACTCTGTTCATCCTAGATCTCTTAGTTATGAGATTTAGCAGTACTAATAATAATTATTAATGAGAAAAACTTTGCTATCTAACTATGCATTATTCTGTTTCTTACTGGAGGAACTCGGCTAGGAACGCGTTTTGGCTTGTGCAATGATGCTTTCGCACTCGGTGACACACAGAATGTTTGAAGGATGATTTAAAATAACCTTTCCAATAACATATATAAAATTCAGCTTTGTTGCTATGACGTAAATGACACGATATTTTTAAGATTTTTAAACGTCTGGCAGGGGTGACACCACGTGGAAAGTGTTACAGCTTGTAATTTTGTTGTTAACTACTTTGAGGTAGAGATAAGTCACCTATCGTCGATTTAGGATACCGTTAACAGTTTTAACCCATCGTTCTAGCAACTAGCAGTGGAAGTAAAAATTTGAGTTATGAAACGGCAAAAAACATCCTATTGAATTCAATTTTGAAATACAAATTTTTTTCATAGTTATCATTCAAGCATCATTAGATGACGTTCGAATTTTTAAATTGTCATTGGGGTAATAAGCTTCGCCACAACTTCCGCCTTAGTAAAGGAATAATTTTTGTCTTTCCGTGTTTTGCTCTGTTTACTATAGTCTATAATATTCCTTTGCTTGTGCGTTACAACGTCAAGAAATGAATCTAATCAATGCAAGTTGTATCTTAATTCAGATGACTGTCAAAATTCTGCGTATCCTTATTATGATATTTGGTATTTTTCAAAATTTTTAATGGGGTATTTTTCAAAACTCAATTGTAGGTGCGTTGGACATAAACAACTTACCTATCGGCGAGGCAGACAAGCAGGGCTTCAACAACACCGAGATCATCTTGCAGTTCGTTTTCAGGTGTGCGTTAAGCGTTCTAGCTGTCGCTTGTCCGTGTGCGCTGGGCTTAGCCACGCCGACAGCTGTCATGGTGGGAACAGGTGAGTTTGCTTGCAGTTGGTATATCATTGGTCATGTCAATGGCAATTGGCATGATTGTTTGATATTGCTACCGCGTGGAGGTATTAGTATTGTTGGGGGTTATCTGTCATCTATATGGCAGGAAAACGCTTGATAATTTATTTCCATCAAAAGTGAGGTTAGGACCTACCTGTATTTCAGACGCTCTCTAGAAACATAAAGACAACATATAACGTTGACGCATTTCCATTATTGCATCGACTGTAAAAGTGGGGTATTATGCATTTATTAACCCTTTCAGTCACGACTTTTCATTTTTTCAGAAAAAAATTTTTCGTGAAAGTGGGGGTTGAAGTGATTTTTTATATGATTTTTAAGAATTTTTTGAAGTCCGTACGGCCTTGATTTTTCTAAAAAAAATTATGTTCGTTTCAACGAACATGGTGACTCTACGAGAAGGAGAGGAAATAAATAGCTACAACATTGTGGTTTATTTCATATGGTAATCCTTGAAACAATTACGATCACGAGTAATACATATATGTACACTACATTTCATACAATTAAAACGTGTTTTTTCGAGGCAAGCTCCATTTTTGCACCTTGCTCCATCCCTACTTCCATCAAATATTGGTAAATGGCCCACTTCATCCAGTCACCATGTTCGTTCTAACGTACATATGATTTTTCTCGAATTAGTGCATGAAAAAATATGATATTTGATCATTTCTTTTTTTATATATTATAATGAACATATGAGGCATTGAAGAATAAATTTTGGAACTCAAATTCACTTACTATTTTATCAAAACAAACACGAGAAATGTGTTCATGAACAATAACAGCTGACTCACTGTACACACAGAAGGTAAATAAGCGAAACTTGTATAATATCCCAAGAGATAGTGCTACCTATATCAGTCATTGGATATAAAGGTCCCTCGCGTCTGATGTGGTGTATAAATGGAATAATAGGTGTCGCCTCAATTTACTATTGGCACGAAAAGTACATGTCCGTTTTAACGACCATGGTGACCGAAAGGGTTAAAACCCACATGAGATATGGGGTAATTGCAGCAATGAGCAGTTTCAATCAATTTTTCCATTACAAAAAAAGAGCTTGAAGTGACTTCCAGACATTCATACAGGTTATCATTCAAAGAGAATAAATAACATTCTCACTCCTTCCCGTATATTAATTCTTGAAACCCGTCAGAATTGCAAAATTATATTGACGATTTCAACCACCACGAATTAGGAACTCATTGATATATAATGCAGGCAAATTGTACAGTAACACACATTCATAGAAACTCCGATTTATTAGATATACCGGGTGTTCCATTCAAGACTATCCACCCTCGATATCTCCCAGAATTATTATTTTACAAAAAAATGAAGAAACAGGTCGATTTTCATATGCAGGGGGACACCTTTTAACGTAAAATAAATAATCCATACTTCAACCCTCTACTACCCAGAGCAACCCCCTCAATAATTAGAATAGGGAATAAGTGTCGTGTTATACATCATTGCGGAGGTAATTCAATTCTGAAACTAGCAGTGGAAAGTTTTTTTGGATTCCAACAAGTCGTTCTCGAGATATTCGAGTTCAAATGGTATGTTTTCCAATTGCGAGTAATTGAATGTACGGAGTGAATTATTGAATGGTTATCAACAACAAATGTTTAAAATAACCTTCATTGACTTCCAGACAGTGGTAGAATCTACTTGTATATTCCTTTCGCACATTTGAGATGTTTCTTTAGTTATTGCCTGGCATTCCAACCTTTATTTTTCTCAACTTATCGTCCAGATCATAGTAGAAAAAAATCATTGGGTGCCATGTCCGGCGAGCGTGCTTACCATTTTAATGGTCCTTCACGACCTATCTATTTGTTTGGGATAAATATTATCTGCCAATAGATTTCGATTACCATCATCATATAGGTATGTAGAGGACCAATAGAATGGACAGCACGTCTGCCGGATTTGGCACCCAATGATTTTTGCTATGGGGTCATTTAAAATCGGTGATTTATAAAACGGAACCTACTGACCTCGATGATTAGGAGAGAAGAATGAGAACTGAATGCCAGGCAATATCATAGTATAGTGCCTACGAGCCCAAAAATGGTCAGATACTTCCCGTTCTGAGTAAAAGCAAATCCTTTTGAACAGGCATAGAGTAAGTGGAAATAAAGAGATTCAGGGGCAGACCCACCCCTGAAACCCGCGGAGACACCCCCACCCCCTTCTCGAAGGGGTGGTGCGCACAGTTGCATATAAACATTATTTTCTCAAAAACGGTGAGAAATAGAGATCTGCGATTTACGCCATTCGAAAGAAAATTGAATTTTACATCTGATAGATATTTTTTGATTGATCAAAAATCTCAATGACAGCTCTCAATAAAAAATATATGGGAGGAGGGAGTTCTGGGCTGTCATGTTTTTCCTCATAACTATTAAACAGCCCAAAGAATCGAAAAATTTGACGAGAGAAAAAATGAAGCTTGCAGTTTTTTCTATCGAACGATATATATAAAGTTAGAGATATCTATATAAAGAAGGCATCCAGTGGCGTACGAACACATGCGCGTTTGGTAGAATAATGTGTGAAAAATGATAAAAAAATACCTACCTACCTACCGTTTGTGCATGCAACGTGAGAAATGAACATTTTACTATATGACGTGAGAGGAAGAAGTTGATTTACTCATCACACAGACTAATAATTATGTAGGATACTACTTGGATTCAAGAAGGAATGTGGAAAATCTAACAATGAAGGTACAACAATTTAAACATTTTTATAGTAATAAAAACAATCTGAAAGCATTATAATTGACTCATCAACTCCGAAAACTACATAAACAATCTGAGAATATAAAAATTAACTCATCAACTCTGAAAATAGAATAATACAAATATAAAATCAGGTACTACAGCGCTAATTGCAGCATTCCTTACAGGTACATAATTGTGTACATTTTAATTTCCTCAGGAAACATTTGCATTCATGATCACTAAATTTACATTGGCATTCAATCATTATATTATCTGTTTCCAATCTTTCGTTCTTGATAGTTGTCCAGAGTGGTATCCATTTTTCTTCTCCCAATGTCCATCCCCATTGGAAGGGACACGGTAATCCCAAATTAGCAGTAGCTAAATTGCCCCAAATACGGCCTCCCTGATAAATGCATCTTCTGGCGTGTAATGAAAGTGCATTGAATGTGGGTGGAAGATTTTCAATAGACCTATTTTTTTTGTAAATAAGTCCATTCGACAAACATCTTAGTTTTCCGCTTCTGAATGTTTATCGTACAAAAATATGACATACCTTTCTAATATAATATGTAACTGATTTTCATCAGGTTGTTTAGGGCGAAGTGTTAGCTCTATGAATACATTTGTTACGGCAGAAAAAACATACCATGCTTCCCAACATTTTCTTTTTCCTTTTCGAAGAACGCTGATGTTACATCGCACCCAGTGAAAGCGTGAAACATTGGCAGACCCAAGCATTTCTCTTTCAATTTATCAGAAATTTCTACGCAAGAAATGTACAAAAATCCGAGTATCAGCTTCCTCATGGTTGCAAACACCAGTTATTTTATTGATTCCTAGGGATCCACTATTGTAAAGTGTTTCATCAATTGTATTACATACTACTACTGTATTTTCGGGTAATGGCATGTCTTTGAGGTGGTTGGAAATTAGATCGAACAATTGTTTCTTATTTTCCGAGTCTCTCAAGAAGTCATTCCAATTTCGTGGAATGCTGGTGTTTTTTCTTACCAATTTCCTGTTCCCTTTTCCCCTCTTTTCTCTTGTACTTGCCTTCAAGCTAATAAGCTAAGGCTTTACAATAAGAGAGATATATTTCTGAACAGCAAGCCTTGGGTTGTAGTATATGTACTAATGCAGCACCATATCAATCAATACAGCATCAACATCAGTTGGTTTACTCTCAACTGTTATGTATTTGTCTAAGCATCGTAATAAATCTGATTTCGTGCCATGGTACATTTGACCAAGTTGAGCGAGTGAGGGTAGATGAGGATGATTCCCAAATTTGAAAAAAAATTTCAGGTCACCATCTCTATTCTGTGACACAATGTAAAGTCTACTGAACAAAGTAACATCTGATTTCAATTCTTCCACTTTACTTGATTTATTCTGCTTATTTTTTTTATTCTTGAAGAGAATGTTATTATTTTTAGTGATTGGTTCAGAAATTGATTTTTTCGAGTGTATCAACCTATCATGGACAATAAAGTCTCTGCATTGATGGGCGCCTTTATCTAATAACAGTCTCAAACATTCGTCATTCACGACAATTCTACTATCTAGAGCGAATAATTCAGTTGAGGTTTCCTGGAACGGATTACCATATATTTTGAAGGTATCTGATCCGAATGAAGATGGACATTGGAAGAAGAGAAGTGGATACCACTCTGGACAACTATCAAGAACGAAAGATTGGAAACAGATAATATAATGATTAAATGCCAATGTGAAATTTGTGATCATGAATGCAAATGTTTCCTGAGGAAATTAAAATGTACACAATTATGTACCTGTAAGGAATGCTGCAATTAGCGCTGTAGTACCTGATTTTATATTTGTTTTATTTTATTTTCAGAGTTGATGAGTTGATTTTTATGTTCTCAGATTGTTTTATGTAGTTTTCGGAGTTGATGAGTCAATTTTAATGCTTTTAGATTGTTTTTATTACAAGAAAAATTTTTAAATTGTTGTACCTTCATTGTGAGATTTTCCACATTCCTTCTTGAATCCAAGTAGTATCCTACATAATTATTAGTCTGTGTGATGAGTAAATCAACTTCTTCCTCTCACGTCATATAGTAAAATGTTCATTTCTCACGTTGCATGCACAAACGGTAGGTAGGTAGGTATTTTTTATCATTTTTCACACATTATTCTACCAAACGCGCATGTGTTCGTACGCCACTGGATGCCTTCTTTATATAGATATCTCCAACTTTATATATATCGTTCGATAGAAAAAACTGCAAGCTTCATTTTTTCTCTCGTCAAATTTTTCGATTCTTTGGGCCGTTTAATAGTTATGAGAAAAAACATGACAGCCTAGAACTCCCTCCTCCCATATATTTTTTATTGAGAGCTGTCATTGAGATTTTTGATCAATCAAAAAATATCTATCAGATGTAAAATTCAATTTTCTTACGAATGGCGTGAATCGCAGATCTCTATCTCTCACCGTTTTTGAGAAAATAATGTTTATAGGCAACTATGCGCACCACCCCTTCGAGAAGGGGGTGGGGGTGTCTCCGCGGGTTTCAGGGGTGGGTCTGCCCCTGAATCTCTTTATTTCTACTTACTCTTTGCCTGTTCAAAAGGATTTGCTTTTACTCAGAAGGGGAAGTATCGACCATCGTAGGACCTTAGCTATCAAGAGAAACATTCTCAAACGTACAAGAGGAATTTTCAAATAGACTCTACCATTCCCAACTAGCATTTATAGTCGCGATTACGTAATTACGACTATTGGGTCGACTATTAAGTAATATTTACTAGTTGCGGTTACGTTATAATTACGTCGTTACTACGTATTTACGACCAAAATGGGGAACAAATCACGAGTAATTATTACGGTTTGCCGACCTAGCGGGAACTCACACAATTACGTAATGCTTACGACCCGTCGACGTCGAAATTACGTAAAGATGTAGTAAATTTTCCTACATGACTTTCTATTTCTTTTCCACTTCATAAAAATATTATTTTCTCTCTTTATTATTCTTCATTTCATCCATGAAGTTCACATTCACGAAAAATGAACAAGTCCAATATGCCTAACCATTCAATAAATAATACAAGGACAAACACGCGAAATAATTGATACTCGAACTTGAAAAATTCGAACAACATTCAGTTTTTCGATAAATGTGATGATTTTGCCTCGAAATTCAAGATGCGCCCACAAAATACGGCTCATTTCACCAAAAATATGGTTTTATTTCATTCGGCTATTTTTCAAAAATCATCGTAAATCATGTTAATTTCCATTATTATGCAATTTGTGATCGAACGAATGCTATTATTCTTCATAAAATGATGTTTATCAACAAGAAAAACCAAAATTATTTCCTGTTCAAATGGTTATCACATCAATCAATATGGCTTCCAATCGAAAATGAATCAGAAAGTTACTTTTGGAACTCGTCAGTTATGATAACCTATGTATTGGTAACTTCAACTGAATATAATTACCGAAAAGTTGTTTCAACTATGAAGGAATTGTTTGAGTAGGAATTACCAATATGTTACTTGAAATATCACCAAGAATTGACTAAATTATTAGGTGATCGATCAAGTAACGACAACGTCGTAGAAACCTAATTGGTGACCATAGAGTAATTGCAACTGTGAAGCCTTCTTGGGGTGGTAAGCGTTACCGTAATAATATATCCAAAGTTCCGAAACCTTAAGAGTAGGTAGTTTTGAGGAGTGACAGTTTCGAAATAGTTACTTCGTAATAAGCCATGAGAATTTCTCACTTTGAAGTTATTATCTAGTGTAAAAACTACGTAATTTTCACTCACTAAATAACTATCACTGACATTTATACTATGAAGTTCTGAAATAAGTGATAAATACGTTATTATCACTAAATATAGGTAATAGTTTCTTGAACCATGGTGCCTGTGACTGAAAATGCTAGTTGGGTTGTCTAGGAGTCAATGGAGGCCATTTTGAACATATTTTGTGAATACCTGTTCAATAATCTATTATTCACATTCAATTAGTCACAATCGAAAAACATACAATTCGAACTAGAATATCTCGAGAAGGACTTGTTGGAATTCAAAAAACTTTCCACTGCTAGTTTCAGAATTGAATTACCTTCGCAATGATGTATAACACGTCCCTTATTCCCTATTCAAATTATTGAGGGAGTTGCTCTAGGCCCTAGGGAGTAGAGGGTTGAACTATGGATTATTTATTTCGCGTCAAAAGGTGTCCCCCTCCATAAAGAAATCGACCTGTTTCGTCAATTTTTTGTAAAATAATAATTCTGGGAGATCTCGAGGGTTTATGAATATATCCATATCTATACAGGGTGTCCGGAAATTAGGCGCAAAAAATCAAGGGGGTGATTCTACATGATAAAATAAGAATTTCATTTCATATGTACGTGGGTCCGGAAATGCATAGTTTTCAACATACAGTGTGTAAAAACTTTTAAAAAAGTTCGGTTTTTTATGAATATCTCAAATGTCCTTCCACCGATTTTCTTGAAATTTGGCAATGATATTTCTTGTCATAAGAGGCTGATAAAGCGATAATTCAATCGGAATTATGAGTCAGTGGCGTCCCAGGGGGCGACCTAGCGAATATTATTGTCAATAAAATGTGCGCCACTGATTTTTTTGAATTTTTTATCTTCATAACCTATTGACCAACTAAAAATACAACTTTTTGGTCTCCTGAATTGTTCTGAAAATTTACTTCATTTCCATGGAAAAAAATAAATACCAATTAATTGCATGAATTTGTGCCAAAAAATTCCTTTAAAAACTGGGGTGAAAATAAATGCGTGATCAATGTCCATAGACATAGAATAAGTATGAAGATTCATTCTCTTCAAATATTTCTTGATACATGTTTGACACACTCTACACTCTGTATATAAGAACTATGTATTCTCGCTCCAGGGAGGCGCAGTTTTCGATAATACAAATTGTGTCAAACATGTAATATGAAATATTTGAAGAAAATGAATCTTCATTACTATTCTACGTCTATGGACATGGATCAGACATTTAATTTCACCCTTGTTTTTGAAGCTTTGGTTTGCACAAATTTATACAATGAATTGGTATTTATTTTTTCCCACGGAAACGCAGCAAAATTTCAAAACAATTCAGGGGACCAAAATGTTGTATTCTTAGTTAATCATTAGGATATGACGATGTAGAATTTGAAAAAATCAGTGGCGCACATTTTATTGACAATAATATTCGGTAGGGTGCCCCCGGGACGCCACTGGATTTCACAATTCCAATTCAATTATGGCTAAATCAGCCCCTCATGACAAAGAATATCATTGCCAAATTTAGAGAGAATCGGTGAAAGGATATTTGAGATATTCATAAATAACCGATTTTTTCTGTATCTGTATCTTGAAAACTATGCATTTCCGGACCCGAGTATATATGAAATAAATCTCATGTTTTCTCATGCAGAATCACCCCCTTGATTTTTTGCGCATAATTTCCGGACACCCTGTATAAACGAATATTAATTATCCGGTAATCATTCCACAAAGTTATCCCCACCATTCGAGATTTTCATTCCATTATCTATGTCGTCGATAAGATCTATATCTTCCAACGTTAAAGCATATCTTGATTCTGATATATGGTTTTGAGGTATCGGAGCGGTGAACGGCATCCTGATAAAGGGCGCCGAACCCCTGGAGAACGCCCACAAAGTGAAGGCGATCATGTTCGATAAAACGGGTACCATCACGAAAGGCACCCTCGAAGTGGCCAAGATCTGGATGCGAGGCGACACTTTCGGCCCCGCCGTTCTGTTGGCGGTGCTCGGCTCCTCAGAGACCAATTCCGAGCATCCCATAGCCGCCGCGATCGTCAAGTTCGTGCGAGAGGCGTTGGGCACCGAGTTGATTGCCAGTTCGTCGAATTTTCAGGCGGTGCCTGGGTGTGGAATGAAGTGCAGGGTGTCTAATCTCACGGAGATGTTGACTAGGTGAGTCATCGTCGTTCTAATTGAAAAGTGTTGGTTATTTGGCAGAAGGAATAATTTTTTTTTTATTTATTTGAAATTTGAAATTCATTTATTACCAAGTTAAAAACAGTTCGTTTTACATTTTCATGGTGGTACACTATACATTTTTTCAGTTTGTGTGTGTACCTATAGTTTGTTCACATAACAGCTACAATTTTTCATATAAAATACAATGAATTTCTCAAGTTCTTAGTCTAAATAAAAATCAAAAAGAAATACTTATATGTGTTTAAAAACGAGATTTAGTATTCAAGCCTAGTCTTGGAGAAAAGAAGAAAGAGTTGACTTATAGTGAATTACAAATATATGATGAACAGTACAATAGGTGAATGATAATTTATCAAACATATCTTCCAGTCAGAGCAAGTATGAGGAAGAACATGATCATGAAATAATAAGTAGTGAATAGCTATGAACTAGTACACAAACATGAGTAGAAGTGAACATGAATAATAAGCATAATAAATCAGGATATCACAATAAATCACAAAAAAACAAACAATTAATGAACAGAGAAAAGAATTCTAGTCAAGGACATAACTTACTGATAAATTTTAAACATTTCTCTCAGCCATGATCAGTTATTTTACCCTCTTTTTAAATGTACTTATATTTCTGCAGTTTTTAAATTCATCTGGTAGTTTATTGAACTCAGATAAGGCTGCATGAGTGAATCTTTTTTGTCCGAGTGTAGAACTAGCAGCATCAAGGTGAATTAATTATTTTTGATATAAGGTGCGTTTTTTGATACCCTGTGGAATAGAATAGAATAGTTGTGAATGAAAACGGAATTTACCCAACCCAACCCAACCCAATTTCCTTTTCCTTCCACGCCAACCTCCCTTTTTTATACAGACTGTTCCCACATATGGGGTTCAGCACCAAAACATACGCTGATGCTCTTAGATTCCATCCAGAGAAGAGCCATTCGCCTGGTGGGTGACGCCACACTCACTCACTCTTTGACATCATTGGAACACCGTAGGAAGGTCGGCGACCTTTCACTTTTCTATCGATACTTCCACGGAAAATGTTCTTCGGAAATCTCTGCTATCATCCCTTCACTAGCAATACCAATCAGACGAACTAGACAAGCCCAGTCAGCACATCCTTTCGTTGTCAACCTCGAAAGATGTCGAACAGCACTTTATCAAGACTCCTCCATCCATAGAACGGCTAGGCTCTGGAATTCATTGCCTGTGGAAGTATTCCCAACAACATATAATCCCCAAAAGTTCAAAAAAATTCCAATACCTACCTCCTGTCCCTTTCCTCCCTAGGAACGCACGATGTTCTTTGAACATTATAGGGATTCCCTTTCGTGCGCTCCAAGCGATAAAAAAAAATAGAATACAATGGTTGTTTAACAAAACGGAAATTTTATGTTGGAAATAGTTTTCCACAATTATTTTGGCATTTTTGGCATACGAATTGTGTTTTTCCGCTATTTATCAATTCGCGTATGCCATCACATCGTACTGTTGTACAATGCACAAAAAAATAGCAGCGAGAGACGAAGGAATCCGGTTGGTACATTATGATTTGAAAGTAAGTACCTAGAAAAATCACTTACATATAGTTTTCATTTTGAAATTTGGTAATTTCTCTGATTTCTCGTCGAAATTCCTTCTGCAATAGGAGCTTATAGAAATACTCGTGAAATTTCTAAAATAACGCAACAAGATTGGATTCATGCAATCAAACGGGAGGACCGGTCTGACATGCTGACGAAATATGATCGTGTGTGTTGTAGACATGTTCAATCTATTAGCAGTATTATATTGCGGAAGTGGCAGAAGGAATTTTAATAAGAATAACAAAATTTCATATTGAAAAATATGTGAGATTACTATTTAACTGAAACATCAGATTCCTTCGTCTCTCGCTGCATTTTTTGTATATTGTACAACAGCACAATGAGAAGATATGCTTGAATTAATGAATAGCGCGAAAAACACGATTCGTAAGCCAAAATATTGTGAAAAACTATATCAATCCTTTTTGATTCCTCTGTAAACGAATAAAAAAGTGAGGCTGTGTTTCAATGATTTACAGAAAAGTGAGGTTGTGTTTCGATATTTTACCTCCAAAGTCGGTCATCGTGCACGCGACCTATTCAATAAATACCGCCATTTTGTTCGATTCTCCTTCTTGTCATCTTATTCCGTCATTATGTTCGATCGAAATATATCGAGCAGCCAAAGCGAATAGCTCTCGAAAGTGTTAGCGCGAATTCATCGAATATGTCAAGAAAATGCATGGAATAGCTACTACAGAATTAGGTTAGCACCAACAAAACGCACCTATAATAAACGGGAAGGTTGCTTTCGGCCCAATTTCCGATACACCCAATTTTCGATTCGCTCACCATCTCCGAATATACCCGAACGATGCGTTGTTGCCAAATCTGAATGGAGAATCCTTCTGGGCTTATCATCATTAAATATTGAATTTTTTTGATACACATAATATGTATGTATGATACATATTTCGAAGAGCTCAATTTTCGATTCACCCGATTTTAGATTAGCCCAATTTTCGATTCATCCAATTTTCGATTCATCCAATTTTCGATTCGCCACAAATTCGGTTCACCCAAATTTCGATTCACCCAAATTTCGATTGACCCAAATTTGGATCGACCTGAATTCCGACCTAATATAGAGGAAGGAGAATATTCTTTTCTGCATAACGAAGAAGACTTTCTGTTCCAAACTACCTAACCTAACTTACAGTAGGATTCAATAAAAAAGTAAGTATTAAAAAGAGAGGATTTCCGGATCCTAGTTCTAGTTGTGTAAAAATGGCTCAGCCAATGCTTTGTGTTTTCTAGAACCTATGACAATTTTACTGTCAACATTTGGTGAACACTCATTCCCGATAGCCCGTTTTATGCAAAATAGGATGACGTTAATTCCTCTCTGTAATATACTTGTACGCTTTTTTTTTGAACTGTACCTAACCTACCTAACTCGGCCGAATCGAAAATTGGGTGAATCGAAAATTCGGCGAATCGAAAATTGGGTCAAACGAGACGTTCCCTCATAAACTTCCCACACAGGTCCAGAGACAGCACCGAGCTAACAAACTTCGTCAACCTGGTAGACGCCGGCAGTTCGGGCTTGTTCACTGTCAAAGGGGTGCAAATCGAGGTGAGCCATTCGCAAAACACGAAGCTGGGCCAGCTGATCGGCATGAGTTCGTCGTCGGAGAACCATTCTGGCGACTATGACGTCGTGGTGGGCAACAGAGAGTGGATGAGCAGGAACGGCTTCATCGTGGCGTCGGAGATCGACAGGAATATGGCGGCCGAGGAGGAGCAAGGGCGGTCGGCTGTGCTCTGCGCCATCAATGGTAAGGGACAGTGCTGCCAACTAAAAATTGCATCTAGCCATTAAGCCATTTTTTACTCTCACTCTATCAAAATATTTTCATATACTCTGATAGTATGATCATTCTGAGACCATCCTATACCTTTTCAACTTCAATTTCGGAATCGGTGAGTTATATTTCGGAAAAAGTAATTTCGATTTCAGAATTGGTTAGTTCGATTTCAGAAATGATAAACTCAATTTCAGAATCGGTGAGATAAATTTCAGAAAAAGTCCATTCAACTTCAGAAATGGTGAGTTGTATTTCAGAATTATTATTGGTAGGTTCAATTTCAGAAGATGAAATCCTTTTATATGTTTGAAATGTTTTTAATTGCAAAAGAGAAGATTGTTTACAGTGGATGGAACGGTGTTTGAGAGCACTATGTTGAATCAGATTGAACATATATGGGGTGCCTTCAAGTCAGAAGTGAAGAGCTTCTTGCAAGAGCATCGCCAAAGGGTCATAGCTGGAGATCCGAACAGATTGCTCAACCAGATAGAATTCAGACTGCGATGTCTTGAAGAATGTGCAGATCATTCAATGAAAATGATAACACCTCAAATGTGTTTGCATTCTTATAATCATGTGCAACGCCACTATCTTCCAGCGATTCAGATGGAAGGCATCTGTGGATTAAATTGTTTTTGAAAAGTTGAATATTTTAATTATGGTTTGTTAATCTCACATGCAATTGGAAACATTTCGAACAAATATAAGGTTTTTTTTTATGATATTGAACCTACCGATTCTGAAATACAACTTACCATTTCTGAAATTGAATGGACTTTTTCTGAAATTCATCTCACCGATTCTGAAATTGAGTTTACCATTTCTGAAATCGAACTAACCAATTCTGAAATCGAGATTACATTTTCCGAAATATAACTTACCGATTCCGAAATTGAAGTTGAAAAGGTATAGACTGATGATTCTCAGGGGTTCAAAGAGCATACCTAAAATTCCGTTCCTTTCTTGGTGTTGCTTTTTGTGATACCCATTCTGTAGGTATATGGTAATCTTAGTTTGAATACGTTGCTTGAACCATCAGGCTCACATGAAACAGTTTTCAACTATCAATACTACTTTCCTACCTAGCTAGGCAACAACAATGCAGACTAAACATACTTTGAAAATTATGGTTAGTGATCCTTTCTGAATGTATGTTCCCATCCTGATAAGTCGCCATCATATGTAGTGCTATTGATCACTCTATAGTGTCTTCCAAAATCATTGACACAGACTTCAACATCAAAATTAGCACCAGTGATCTTATGGTGGAATCGAGGCTGACTGAAATTCGACCATTCTTGCTGTGGAGTTTATCACTGGGTATAAGATTCGAAGCACGCCAGAAGGCTGTAAATACATGATGAAGATACAACCAGCAAACCTGAATAAATGAACTGCCAGCACTCAATACAAAGAAGAATGTTTGATTGAATGAAAATTCGAAAAAGTAAAGGAACTTGAAATCGATATTCAACAGAACACAGGGACTTGACAGTGACACAGTTTTGACACTTGCTAATAAGAATTCAATTTAACCTATGTGTTTGGAAAGCAATTGACCTGTCCAAGATGCTGTCAAACCATCTAAATCAATATGGCCGACTGTAGGCACACATACTTTCGTATCGCAATATCTTTGTTATAGTGGTCCAAGGATAATAAATATCCACTTTTATTCAAAACAACCATTATTATTATTTGATATATCTACCTAAGATTATACTGCTGCTACGTAAATCAACAAAAAATACTTGTGTGCCTACCGGCGGCCATTAGAAATTTGTCAAAAGTCACGTGTTCTGGAATGCCTAATCGAATAAAAGCTCAAAATAAGATAAACTAATGAGAAAAGTGAGGTTGTGTTTCATTGTTTCACCTCCAGGGTCGGTCATCTGACAGTTCTTGCACGTAACCCATTATACTCACTTGTGATACTAGATCAGGTTAGATTATAAGTTTATATTGCGACGATTCCTAGCTAAACAATGTACTATTGTCTGAAGGGAAAATAAATGTTAAGTTTATGTAAAGTGAAGTAAGTGAAGTAAAGTTCAAATTTTATAGGTAGCATTGTTATGATGTGCAGTGTCGCCGATACTGTCAAACCTGAGGCGCATCTGGCTGTGTACACCTTAAAGAAAATGGGATTGGAAGTCATACTATTGACGGGAGACAATAGACAGACAGCTGCGAGCATCGCCAGACAAGTAGGTATCACGAAGATTTACGCGGAAGTCCTGCCGTCGCACAAAGTCGCCAGAGTACAAAGGTGAGTAAAACGGAAAAATGCATTTTGATTGAATTGGATGGAAGACCGGGGTTGATGGGTTATTGGGATTAGAGTTCCTAAATGTACTTGACACTGCTGTTTTGACGTTATTTTGTATATTAGAGTACGGACACTAGACAAGCAGTGACAATCAAACATAACCACGAACGATTTTGAAGCAAATCATATGTTTTGCCAGACAAGGACAAGCCTCGCATCTTCCTTCCTCCACAAGTCCTGGGCAGAGTACATCCAAATATCTTTCTCTGTCTTTGATTTTTGTATGAGAGTGCATAGCGTCTTCTCGAGTGGGTGAAAGGGTACGATAAGCTATACGTTCAGTTGAATATTTTTTCATCTCAAAAGTTCAGAATGGGGTAAAAACTGATAAATTTCAACCAATGAAACATACTTTCATTTTGTATGGAACAATTTCACTTGTACAAGAATGGTAGGTAATAAGTAATTAATAAATGAACAATTGATATGGCAACAATAACAGCTGATTTCAGTTAGGATGAATAGTAAAGGTTCTTCAAGACATACGGGAGTAGGTATAAATGGACTTCAGCTCTCGACTCACAATAGATCGCCGTTCACATTGCTTAAGGGGATTGTTGGTTTGAACCCGGCCATCGGAAGATCATTTTCAATACCCAACATAAATGGTGCACTCGTTAAGCGTTCTTGTTCTGTGCTCTGATAATATCTTGCTCGTATCGTGGTACCCAAGACCCATGAAGTGGTTCAAAATCCACTAGGAGCTATGTAGTCGTCTAGCACTTCTCAACTATGCATGAACATGCACATTCAGACTTGGCATTTCAAATTTGAAGAAGCGATACACGAACAATACTCTTTGATATAGATACCTATATTCCATGCCGGTCGTATCATATTCTGTTTCCATTTTTGTAGAAATACGTTATCCGATGGAAATTCGAATAGAGTGAATCGATTTCCCGTGTTCTCACAGTTGGAAACTGCACAAACTTGCATCTTTCTCCTAATTCTCTCAATTTGTCAAACCTTTGAAATTTATGTCATGTACGTCCGTGGTTATGTCTGATTGTCAGTGCTTGTCATAGTGTCCGTACTCTAATAAACAAAAACGTCAAACAGCAGTGAGGAGTACAGGGTGGGCAAAATTAGGCGTTTTCACCGTCTATCTCAATAACTAGATGAGTTATCGAAAAACCGATATACATGTTCCGGGTTCGATTTTGGAGAAACCTCGAATGACACAATCAAAATTTCTATATCTTCATTCGTTTCAGAGATACAGGGGGAAATTGAAAATTTGCCGATTTCGATTTTATTTTCTAACTACTTTACGGTGAGAGGTATCAAAAAATTTCGAACGTATATTTATACAGTATGATGCGTGGAATCCATTGGCATCATCAGAAATTTTATACAGGGTGACGTTGAGAAGATACGGCAGCCAATTATGTTTTTTCTAATGGAACACCCCGTATATTTTGGCTCAGTTGAATAGTCCCAGGCGTTGTCATTACAAATATATATATAACCCTACCTTTTCCTTCCACAATTTCAGATATATTCGCAAAAATATATTCAGTGTGTCACATTTCTTATGGTTACACCCCCGTATCTTCTGTAAAAATAATTGAGGTAGGATTCAAAAGTTCGCAACTGTCTGGAAGAATGCCTGAATATGATACTTTACCCATTATTTCTAGTATGCCTTAATATTCTTGCGTTCAAAGAGATAATAAATAAGATATATATTTGAAATTGAAACGGGAACTTTCCAACTCTGCCAAAATATACGGGGTGTTCCATGAAAAAAATTGTTCTGTATCTGGAATTTGGAAATCTTCTATAAGGCTATATTTTTCAACGCAACCTACTGATTTTCTAATTGAGTAAATTATTGGTATTATTTCTGTATCTCAAATGTCTTGATAACAATGATATCAAATCGAATAATTTCCCATTTTATTTCCCACAATATATCAATTTGTCTGGAAATAACATTCCTTATGATATTTATTTCCCACATTTGGTGAATATATACAGAGTGTTATTTTCAACCTCGATTCTGCCTGTTGATAGCATTATCCAGAAATATCGATGATTCCATAGCTGCTGGCGAGCAGTGTTATCATTGGAGATGATTCCACTTGATCCCTGACTCCATGAGTGTATCATTTGTATCTTTCTGACAGTTGCGAATTTTTGAATCCTACCTCAATTATTTTTACAGAAGATACGGGGGTGTAAACATAAGAAATGTGACACACTGAATATATTTTTGCGAATATATCTGAAATTGTGGAAGGAGAAGGTAGGTTTATATATATATTTGTAATGAGAACGCCTGGGACTATTCAACTTTGCCAAAATAAACAGGGTGTTCCATTAGAAAAAACATAATTGGCTGCCGTATCTTTTCAACGTCACCCTGTTTAAAATTTCTGATGATGCCAATGGACTCCACGCATCATACTGTATAAATATACGTTTGGAATTTTTTGATACCTCTCACCGTAAAGTGGTCAGAAATTAAAATCGAAATCGGCAAATTTTCAATATCCCCCTGTATCTCTAAAACGGATGAAGATATCGAAATTTTGATTGTGTCGTTCAAGGTTTCTCAAAAATCGAACCCGGAACATGTATATCGGTTCTTCGATAACTCCTCTAGTTATTGAGATAGACGGTGAAAACGCCCAATTTTGCCCACATTTAGGAACTCCTACCTTCCATTAGCGACTAGATCTCGATGAGTAGAATTTTGGGTGGAAAAGGGGGTCTTGCCCCAAATCTTATTTTGACCCCTATATTTTTTTCAATGGTGCCATGGTGCCATTCGATAGTATACCTTGGGCCTACGTAGGGTCTGAATTCAATGTATTTATTTTGATGTCACCCTGTATATATAGGTTGCAGGCGAAAGGCATAAAGGTGTGCATGGTGGGAGACGGCGTCAACGATTCGCCGGCTCTGGCGCAGGCCGACGTCGGCATGGCGATCGCCGCCGGTACGGACGTCGCCGTCGAGGCGGCGCACGTCGTCCTCATGCGCAACGACCTGCTCGACGTCGTCGCCTGCTTGGAGCTGTCCCGCAAGACTGTCAATAGGATCAGGCTGAACTTCTTCTTCGCCAGCGTTTATAATCTGTTGGGTAAGTTCCTGAATTGATCACTTAATACTTTCTGGTAACGATCCTGAACGCCTGGGAATCATGGGCAGAGAATCGATGGCATACCATCGGTATAATGTGTGTTTTTGCGATAATATACTGGAACGAAGTCTATAAAAAAAGCTACCTAACTGAGAATTATGTGGCCTTCATTCTCATGCGCAACGACCTGCTCGGAGCTGTCCCGCAAGACTGTCAATAGGATCAGGCTGAACTTCTTCTTCGCCAGCGTTTATAATCTGTTGGGTTCCTAAAGTTGAGTCCTAAGTTCCTAAATTGACTACTAAATACTTTCTGGTAACGATCCTGAACGCCTGGGAATCATAGGCAGAGAATCGATGGCATACCATCGGTATAATGTGTTTTTGCGATAATATACTGAAACAAAGTCTATGAAAAAAGCTACACAATTGAGAATTATGTGGCCTTCATTCTCATGCGCAACAACCTGCTCGGAGCTGTCCTGCAAGACTGTCAATAGGATCAGGCTGAACTTCTTTTTCGCCAGCGTTTATTATCTGTTGGGTTCCCAAAGTTGAGTCCTAAGTTCCTAAATTGACTACTAAATACTTTCTGGTAACGATCCTGAACGCCTGGGAATCATAGGCAGAGAATCGATGGCATACCATCGGTATAATGTGTGTTTTTGCGATAATATACTGGAACAAAGTCTATGAAAAAAGCTACCTAATTGAGAATTATGTGGCCTTCATTCTCGTGCGCAACGACCTGCTCGGAGCTGTCCAGCAAGTCAATAGGATCAGGCTGAACTTCTTTTTCGCGAGCAGAGTTAAAATACGATTTCCTGTGCCAGTACGACGTTGCCGACATCATCAATAGGTCTTTGAATGCATAATAACTATATCATAACAGCAATGGCCTTATAATAGGTTCTTTCTACTTTGTCAAGTATTATAAATAATTTCCATCATCTCTCATTGGCTGAATGAAGTTGATTACTAATAAAGATGAATCATGATATTTTGTGATAGTATCTATAATTTTTCACTATCGTTATATTACAATGATATTCATAACTTGTCAGTAATGCCTATCAAAGAAAGAATGAGTCGATGCATAGATTTCGGGAGGATGTAATTCAATGTTCTTGCGTGGCATTAGCCTGGAAAGTTGTTGTTTTTCTCCCGAAATCTACCATTGTTGTTCAATTTATGAACATTGTGTGGAAATGACTTGTGGCTATTTCGTAGTTAGATATACCTAGTATACAGTGTGTCCATTTACTGCGTAATTCTTCGATATCTCCAAAGCCATAACCTATAGAAAAAAACTTTGAAGGAAAAACTTCTTCAGTTACTCAAGTTGCTTATTTCAAAAATATTTTCAACGTTACTGGGTGTTTTATGAAAGCGGGATGACTCGGAGACGAGTTTTTTTAAATGGAACACCCTGTATTGTTTATTCGGAATTTATTCCGCCGAGGTTTACCTTCACATCGCTGTGAAAAAAATTGAAATCGGTTCCGGCGTTGCCAAGTTATAATTGATAAATCTATTTTTACCACTATTGAAGAGTCATGTTGAATTGGGCATGGTATATTCATTTATTCAAATTATGAAAATATTTTTGACATACGGTAGTAGCAAGGTCTCACGTATACAAATTCAGTAATTTTGCGACATGTTCTTCAACAGGGTGCTCTATTTCGCATTTAGAATTTCGCAAGATTCAGATGGCATTCATTAGAATTTTTCAAATGGAACACCCTGTATTTTTTTTCACAAATTCATTCCGACATCTATCACCTTTTTATCGCTGAAAAAAAAAATCATATTCGGCTGCGGCGTTGTCAAGTTATGGATAATTTCCTTATTTTTACTACTATTTCGGAGTATAATTTTTACGTCATAGTTCTTTCATTAATATAATCTAATTTCTTCATTGACCATTCATATATTTTTCAACAATAGGAACATTTGCACGCTTTCCAAGTTTGAATTTAAAACAGAGTGGATTTGACAAATTGATCCAAAATGCTACTCTCACAGATTTTTTGCAGACAACGAATTAATTTTTCGAAGTACACTTCCATTATTCGTGTAATGACCTGTCAAACATCGTCACAATCAAATATATCTTGAATTTATTCAAAATTTTGCTGAATTCCGATGCAACCGATTTCAATTCTTTTTTCAGCGATGAAAAGGCGAATGATGTCGAAATAAATCTGTGATGAAAAATACAGGGTGTTCCATTTGAAAAATTCTAGTGAACGTCGTCTGAATCTTACAATATTCAGAGTGTAAATTTTAGCACCCTGTACAGGATAAGCTCGTCAAATTAATGGATTGGTGAACGTGAGACCTTGCTACTACTGTATGCCAAAAATCTTCTCAAAATTTTAATAAATCAATATACCATACCCAATTCAACATGACCCTTCCATAGTAGTAAAAATGGGTTTATCAATTATAACTTGGCAACGCCTCAACCGAATCTATTTTTTTTCACAGCGATGTAGAGCTAAACCGTAGCCGAATGAATTTTGAATAAAAAATACTGGGTGTTCTATTTGAAAAAACTCGTCTCCGAGTCCTCCCGCTTTTATAAAACATTGAAAATATTTTTGAAATGGAACCTTCAATAACGAAAGAAATTTGTTTTCAAAATTTTTTCTCTAGTGATAATGGATTTCGAGATATCGAAGAATTAAACACTAAATGGACACACTGTATAAGCAGAACACTAAAATAGGATATTTAGTTTTGATCTTCTCCTGAAGATGCTAACATAGTTAGCGAAACACGTGTCGAGAAGTTGAAAAATCGGTTTGGTTAGTGGTGAAACAGTGTAGTGTAGACAATATTACAGCTCTCACCTACTAGGTTGTCATCTAGAACGCCATAGGTCGAGTGTTCAAACGAACGTTCTTCTTTCCAGGCATCCCTCTGGCGGCGGGCGCCTTCAGCATGATCGGCTTCATGCTGGCCCCGTGGATGGCCAGCGCCGCGATGGCCTTGAGCTCAGTCTCGGTGGTGTGCTCCAGTCTGCTGCTCAAGCTGTGGCGCAAGCCGACGAAGAAAGACCTCGAGACGGCCGACTATCTGGCCAGCAGAGACTCGGGCAGTCTGGACAATATTTCCATCCATCGGGGCTTGGACGATGTCGAACAGATCAACGGGAATGCTTCGAAGTTGACGAGGTATAACTTTGTGGAGAGCGATTGATTGTTTTGTTTTTTATGAACGGTGATGATTTGAAAACTCTTGTTCATCGAGATATCGGGGCTCAGGACGCGGTAAGGAAACAAAATGTCTTCCTTCTTCATATTGAAAACTTTCTAGTAACCAAATCTCGGTGGACTGTGTATCTAACTCCCACGGCGGTGGCTGGGATTGATACCCTGCGAGGCGTCAACTTTTTCTATCATTTTTTTTCACTCAAGTAATTTTTCTAAAAATAAAAATGTTCATTCAGGCCGAACTAGGTCTAGTAGTATCCTTTTCCATATTGAAATAATATTTTTCTAATTTTGACATGTAATGTGACACTTTTCAAAACTGACGGAAGTTTTGAAACGTCTTACTTTACGTAACCAGTTGCGTAAAGTAAAATTTTACATAACTGGTGATGTAATGTTCATTTCATTCATTCATTTCACACAACAAGAGTCGGCAGAACTCATGTAAAACTGGTCATTATTTTTGTTCATGCGAAATGTTTCGTCAAAATTAGAAAAAATATTGTACGTGACACGTTAGGAAACGCCATTTTGTGTAAACAACGCGTTTCCTAACTGATTACGTAAATATCTATTTCCTTCCACATATTACCTTATTACGTCTTGGTGACCAATTTGGACCGTGCTCAGGACCGTTACTATAGTACCTATATTCCAGTTAAGAATAAAGTTGATAGGGCTCGCTTTGCACTAGTGAAATTGACCATACAGTGTGTCCCACTCACCATGCTCACCATGGGTATCTTTTTAACGGTGAGAGATACGAGGTCGATTAAATGACACCAAATGTGGAGTTTGTCAAGGCCAACTACAATGTGAAAATATATTTTGATAAAATCTATTCGTTTTTGTTTTATAGGCAAAAAACAGATTTTGATCATTTTCATGTCTCCTCCGTAACTTCTTTATTTATGAAAATATTCAAATGGGAACTTCACATTCTCATGGCAGTTTTTCAAAGTGATTTCGAAAATAATATGGAATTTATACCAACTCTTCTAGAATTTGAGATATCAGCACCAACTTTAGTTTTTCAAATGTAGGTCATAGCTCTCACTATGACTTAGTTACAAATAACTTTTTTTTCTCTTACAGATGATATGTCGCAGTAATAGTTTTGTGTTGAAAACAACGGAGTTATCGTCATTTATACAAAAACAAAAAATTATTTGGAAGCGCCATCTTGAATTTATAGATTTTAACAAAAAAATCATGATCTCCGACATCAAAAACCCCCACTTACCAATTTTGAATGGAATCGGACCGAATCTTGTCCGCCATCAATTAAAAAAAATGGCTGCTCCAGAATGATGCAATTCATTGATTTAACAATGAATCACAAGAATAACATCGAAACAGATTTGACTAAGAACATGGATTACACAGTTTTGTTGTATCTTGAGCAGAAAGTCTATGCTACATAGGTAAATTCACGTCAAGAGTTGTAAGACATAATTGAACATCACTTAAATGACCTAACAGCTGATCTTCAACTGTTCAGAAGAATAATACATTCTTAAAAAAAGAAAATAGAATCGTGAATTCGTCGAACCGTAGGACTTTTTGAACACTTGATCTAACTGATTCAATATTTCATTTTTCTAGTCAAATATCTCTTAAAATTGTTTTTTAATCTAAATAAATAGGTAATTGAACTCAATAAAATTCATTTTATACCAGCATCAATACTACTCCATTGTTTTCAAATATAAATATTCCGAAAACGGAACATAGTATCCAGTTTCACCAAGAGTACCTTTTTTGTGTAAAATTGAATGATGTTCAAGTTCATATCAAATTTGGATTGAAAAATTTAACCTCAAAAAAGTTATGTTCTAAACTACTCGGTACGAACCTTGTAACTAGCGCCCTCTATGAGGGTCAGATATAAAAACATATTCATACGATGTGTCAGATTTCAAGAAACGTCCATACAAAATTTCATCACAATGTTGCCAGTACTTTCGACATAATCGTGAAAAATGTGTAAAAAAAATCATTTTTCCAACACCTTGTATCATGAAAACGGGTGCCGTTACATTTTTTCACTGAGCAAACCCAACTTATTTTGCAGTGTTCTACCTACCCTAGCAAGGAGGTCAGGTGTTTTTGAAACACCCTGTAGTATATTGTCGTTTGTGGCGGTCTACTATGGTAACAGTTGAATATAAAAAATGGTAATAGAATCCGTGTCCTGCAAAAATTCAATGATAGTCAAGCATCTCAACTGTTTTTGTTCCACATTGTTTTAAGACAGCCGTCCGGTCAACTAACCACTTCCATTGTTCATTATCAATATCGAAATCGCTAGTGTAAACTAGCTTGGCGATCTAGACGACCTAGACCAATGAAAAGCGAGGTCAAATAAGCCTATCGCACTACACACTTTATTCTTAACTGAAATGTAATAGGTGAATGGAGGAAGAATTACTTACAGCTTTTCCACTTGTATTTCAGGATGCCTCAAATGAGTGTCTGAATAATGATTTGAATTTCAGAAAGCACAAATTTTATTTCAAAATAATCGATTGAATTTCAAACTTTCGATTCAGTTTGGTCCCAAATACCCCTATATGAAATTTCATATTATCATGTTTGGAGTAACAAGAGTTTGAGAATTGTCACCTTTTACATTGAAATTTGCGGATATAACAGATAATACACAACTACTTAATTGATATGTTAATTCACGTTTTGGTTTTCAGAAAAATCTCACTAGTAGGGTTCACTGTAAATAATATCAAAGCAATACAGGCCTAGTAAGTTGGTGTGGTAATTTTGTATTTTTGTTTTGTCCGAAATTGTTCAAGTTTATTTTTTATCTGTGATTTTATTTCTGTACTAGTTTTTATTACATTGGCATGAGCTCATTGTTTCTTTTTTTTTATTTTCTATGTTTGTGATTGTTTTACCTACCTATTATTTAGCTTTGCCTCTGAATTAACACAGACTAATGTCAAAAGTTTTCTAATATGCAATAGGCAACTGGGCTTGTGAATTTCAACCAATTTTTCACCCATTGATATTCCAAAATGTTCATGATAATCCATGACAATAATTATCATGACTACAAATGTTACAAAAAATATAATTTAAATTTTGACAAGTCACATACAGAGATCTGAGATACAATAGTAATATTCTTTTAATCTGAACTAACTGAAATATTTTACTAGAGCTGAACTGAATCGTTCTTTCGGATGACGTTCATTATGTACAGGGTGATTCACCATAAATGTCCCACTCCTCTAGCTCAGTTATTTTTGAACCGTTTGCAAAATTTCAAATATCGTCTGAAATGATTTTCGAGTTTTGTTCCGCTACATCAAAAACGTTTTCGGCTTTTGTCCCCATCAATTCTAAATTGATTTTTGGCTGAATTCCTAGCCTCGCTACGCTCGGCTATGAACTATCAGCCGCGGCAGTCAATCTACTACTTTTCTGCCTAGTTAAACAAATAACTTTTTTCTGCAACCGACACAAAAGTCGTCCATTTTGATACCAAAAGTAGCTCTTGAATTGACGTTTCTATTACTGACACAAAAATAGGTATGTTGCTAGGCAACATATTTAGTTCCTAGGAGCTAAAGTTGAATTTTAGTTCCTAGGAGCTAAAGTTCAACTTAAGCTCCTAGGAACTAAAAAGGATGTACTGGACGTCATCAAGAATAAACAAAATTGTGACGGTTGGTTATTTGGGTTGAGACGCATACCTGATTTGTTTCCGATTTCAGCAGATTTGGCATTTCATACCCATGCTGGAGATATAAATACACCTTATCATAGTTCAGTATTGAAATTATAAACATCTCGGTTAAGTATTTTTGTTTTGATCAGGGAAGCCTTAAAGATTCGAATACTTGCTTGATCTGTATTTCATTCGTTATTCTCGGGATGGATAACTTGTTTTTGAATAATCACGGCAAGTAATAGTTTTTTTGTCTCAAACAACGATATTGTTTAGCTTCATTTGATTATCAAGTCAAACACAGTGTAGTATGGAGAGGAATAAATAATCACTATTATCATTGTTGATATGCTCACTAACCTAACATTTTCCACGTCTTGTTCCTATAGCTGGCACTGGCGCGGTATTTGCCATTATAGCACCTGATCCATACACAAATATGTCACTCTGTGGTTGTATTTATATTGAAATTAAAATTCGAACATCCTAGAAAACCTAACCTTCTGTTAATGCAGGTAGAATATTCTCACCACATGGATTATTTGTCAATATTTGTTGCATTGCATACATATGGCCGGCATTGGTGGTTACTTCACATGTTTATTTGAGTTAATTGTTTCGGTTGCAGAAAAAATAGCATGTTTCATTCGGATCAAAAGTGACTTTGTTCGACTCGCAAATTTTTCTTTCGCTCGGCTTCGCTAAACGCTCCGCCTCGCAAATGCAAAATTCGCTTGTCAAACAAAGTGTCACTTTTGATCCTAATAAAACAATCCACTATTTTCTCCAAGCGGCAGGGACAGTGGCTTTTTCCTGTCGCTTAACAGGCAAATGGTGTACTTTTACTGCCTAGGCAGAAAAAGTTTGTTGCTATGCAACGTTCCAAGAAATTCTAATGAAATTAGTAATCAAAATTGACACTGACATTGGGTGAACACAAAATGATGGAGTTTTCAAAAAAAAATTACACAAAATTGGTTTTATTTCATCATATTCTATGTTTCACACGGCAGCAAATGTAGATTGACTGCCTTTGCTGAATTCCTAGCCTCGCTACGCTCGGCTATGAACTATCAGCCGCGGCAGTCAATCTACTACTTTTCTGCCTAGTTAAACAAATGACTTTTCTCTCCTAACGGCATAAAAAGTAGTTTTTCTATGACACTTATCAGGCAGGAAGTAGTACTTTCTCTGCCTAGGCAGAAACATTCCAAGTAATTTGAATGAAATTGGTAAAAAAAATGACACTGGCATTGGGTAAAGTTACAAAAAATGTATAGGAGAAGTATACTTGTATGAACTCCGATCTTGAGCTTGGAACTTACAAAAAAATCATTCGTATCAGTGATACTATACATTTCCATTTTCATTTCAATACTCAACATATTGGTAAGTTATATTTTTATCATAATACATCCATCATATAATTCTATTCGATTTGAGAGATAATGTCAATTCCTAATTTCGGAGGATTTTGATTTTTCATGCTCTCTTTTTGGATATTCAACAGATATAATTCAATGTTCGACGTGACAGATAACCAGGAAAGTGGTTGTTTTCTGTTGAATATTCAGAATGATTTTATATGCATATCTTTACATGAAGGAGAATGCAAATTTTCTACTTCAGAAGATTTTGTTTTCAAAATCTTATCCTGTGTGTTCAATAGATGTAATTCAATATTCGTGGTGGCATATAGCCAGGAAACTAGTTGTTTTCTGTTGAATAAACCGAGAAAGAATTGATATTTTCATCACATGGAGAATGCGAATTCTCAATGTATTTCTTACAGGGTGGCCCACGGTCGATGGTACTTTAGACGGAAAACGGTACAGGATTATCCTGAAAATTTGCGATGCAGCGTTGCCACTTTTACCAAAAAGTAGCACCATCTTTGTTATTTCAAATGGAACACCCTGTATTTCATTGCGTTTTTAGATTCTTCTCGAAGAGCTGATTTCATCAATGCATCATACTTGGGGTCTAGCAGGAATTATTACAGAGATATAGGGTGTTCAAAATCGAGATTTTTCAATTTCAGGAATTTTTTGTGTCGAAACTATTCATTATCGATCAAAACGGCTTACATGTCCCTATCTTAACTTTTGATTCACTATCTACTAACATTTAATAGGAACAGATACATGGTGATCAAAATTCTGAATCTTGGACCATCCTGTATTTTTTCCAATTAAATGTCGGTAGATAGTTAATCAAAAGTTAATATAGGGACATGTAAGCCGTTTTGACCAATGATGAATAGTTTCGACACAAAAAAATCCTAAAGTTGAAAAATCTCGATTTTGAACACCCTATATCTCTGTAATAATTCCTGCTAGACCCCAAGTATGATGCATTGATGAAATCAGCTATTCGAGAATAATCAAAAAACGCAATAAAATACAGGGTGTTCCATTTGAAATAACAAAGATGATGCTACTTTTTGGTAAGTGGCAACGCTGCTTCGCTGAAAATATTCTGAATCGTTAGATCACAAACGCTTATTAGAGTAACCAAATTTTCAGGAATCCAATGTTCCGTATACGTCTAATAAGGTACCATCGACCGTGGGCCACCCTGTATATATCCATTTTTTTGGTGTTCATATACAGGGTGTTTCAAAAAAACCTGACCCCCTTGCTAGGGTAGGTAGAACACTGCAAAATAAGTTGGGTTAACTCAGTAAAAAAATTTCGTAACGGCATCCGTTATCAAGATACAAGGTGTTGAAAAAATGATTTTTGTACACATTTTTCACGATTATGTCGAAACTACTGGCAAAATTGTGATGAAATTTTGTATGGATGTTTCTTGGAATCTGACACATCGCGTGAATTTGTTTTTATATCTGACCCTCATAGAGGGCGCTAGTTACACGGTTCGTACCGAGTAGTTTAGGACATAACTTTTTTTTAGGTTAGATTTTTCAATCCATATATGATATAAGCTTGAACATCATTCAATTTTACACCAAAAAGGTACTCTTGGTGAAACTCGATACTGTGTTCCGTTTTCGGAATATTTCGATTTGAAAACGATGATAACTGTTGCTGGTATAAAGATATGTATTAGTGTATCATGAAAAATTATCACCTATTTATTGAAAATCGAAAACAACAATACATTTCTGATGCTAAACTCAATGATTCAACAATGAATCACAAGAATAACATCGAAACAGATTTGACTAAGAACATGGATAACACAGTTTTGTTGTATCTTGAGCAGAAAGTCTATGCTACATAGGTAAATTCACGTCAAGAGTTGTAAGCCATAATTGAATATCACTTAAATGACCTAACAGCTGATCCTCAACTGTTTAGAAGAAAAGTACATTCTTAAGAAAAGAATATAGAATCGTGAATTCTTCGAAACGTAGGAAATTTTGAACACTTACTCTAACTGATTCAATATTTTATGTTTCTAGTCAAATATCTCGGAATTTTTTACCTATTACTTCGTTCTATCAATAACTTCAGGACAAGAATAATTTTATTGTTTTCGAATCTGAATAAATAGGTAATCGAACTCAATAAAATTCATTTTATACCAGCATCATTACTACTCCATTATTTTCCAATCGGAATATTCCGAAAACGGAACATAGTATCGAGTTTCACCAAGAGTACCTTTTTGGTGTAAAATTGAATGATGTTCAAGCTCATATCATATTTGGATTGAAAAATTTAACCTAAAAAAAGTTATGTTCTAATCTACTCGGTACGAACCGTGTAACTAGCGCCCTCTATGAGGGTCAGATATAAAAAAAAATTCATGCGATGTGTCGGATTCCAAGAAACATCCATACAAAATTTCATCACAATGTTGCCAGTAGTTTCGACATAATCGTGAAAAATGTGTACAAAAATCATTTTTTCAACACCTTGTATCATAAAAACGGATGCCGTTACGACATTTTTTCACTGAGCAAACCCAACTTATTTTGCAGTGTTCTACCTACCCTAGCAAGGGGGTCAGGTTTTTTTGAAACACCCTGTATATCTGAGAATATTCCTTTTCATTTTTCAATACATTATCGTTACGTCTAATATGCTGCTCATTTTAAGGATTTGCTGGCAAACATCAAAATAAGTACGAGCTCATTATTTGTTACAGATTCTTAGGAAAAAACAAAAGTGGTCGACAGCTACTGTTGACCAATGATGAAGAGGAGCCGACGATATCATTTTGTAAAGGACAAGAAGTCCACCAACCTCTCATGTAATGACTACTTAAAAATATTTATCTGTTTCAATCCAGTTCCGAGAATCTGACATCACTGTTACGAATTATATTTTTTATATATACTATGTTATTTCTTAAGTAATACATGACAGAGTGCCAGAGTGGTATATAACCTCATAAATAATTTTTCTGTACTGTACTTTTAACAAGAAATGTTTCGTTTGAAAAATATATTTTTACTACAAAAATTTGTTTTTGATACCTAAACCTCGTGACATATTACATTTGAAATGGGCGTGTACACCTTAGTAGAACTTTCAACTCAAACCATGTTTATAATGATCCATTTATACATAAATAATGATTGACGACATAATTCGATCGAAAAATTAACTGGAATGTTTTATTTTTGGACATAAATAATAGTACCTTCTGTGAACGGACCCTCTTATGACGTAGAAACCTCATCTCGCCATAGTTAAAAGAAAATACCAAACGCTCGACGGAGACTGAGGCAACTGATATATTAATTCTTTCTACTGTGATCTTGCGCTAATTCACTCTGTCAGAAATAATGTATGATTCATATCTTTCTGGAATAGTATTGTTTCAGTATTAGGGTTTTGACGTCACATCATCGCCTCGTTTTCAGAGGTCCGAAAAATCGGGGATTTCAATAATTTTTTATAAAACGTAGGGAGCTCACAGCAAGAAACGGTTTGCGGTGGTGAGCTAGTTTGGGCGAGTTCTATCGAATTATGAAATACATTTTGTTTGTGATATAAGCCCATTGTAGATATGATCGTAAAGATTGAATTTTACTAAGGTGGCTTGTGAAAAACCTAGGAAAAATTAGTAGTAATCTAACAACATCCATATCAACTCAACTCACAAAAAAAACGCTAACCTGTATTTTTTAAATTTCTTTAATGAATGATATGTATCAAAATTTGCACATTGATTTTCCATGATAATTTCATTTTCTCGAATAGAAGATAGGATAATAAAACATAATTGAAAAATGTTCAGTAGATAATTTATACCTGTGCATCTGAATTCCATTCATGAAAATAACGATTTTGCACAACAATTCTGGAAAGTAATTCTTTGATTTTATATGGCTAATATCCATAACATACGTGGACATAACCTCGTTCAACTAATATCGATATCATACAAGGTTTTCTAGAACAACGTGAAAAAAATGTACGGGGTGTATGGTGTAACTATACTAAAAATTAACATTTGCATACCTCTATACAAAAATGCACTATTTTTTTGACCCGTACTATATAGAACACTCAACATACGAGAAAACAATTCTTGAATACTGAATATGAGTATTGTGATCAATTATCCGGGATAATTACTTGAGAACTTGTTCGATCGATGACAAGGATACATCATAAACAGTATGGGGAGGCATCAAAATATCGTCACTGATAAACAGGGTCTGGGAACCCAACTCCCTTGCTAGGGTAGGTAGAACATTGCAAAATAAGTTTGGTTTACTCAGTAAAAAAATGTCGTAACGCCATCCGCTTTCAAGATACAAGGTGTTGAAAAAAATATTTTTTACACATTTTTTACGATTATGTTGAAACTACTGGCAACATTCTTATGACATTTTGTATGGATGTATTTTGAAAGCTGACTCATCGTATGAATTTGTTTTTATGTCTGACACTCATAGAAGGCGTTAGTTACACGGTTCGTACCGAGTACTTTCAAACATAACTTTTTTGAGGTTGAATTTTTCAGTCCAAATTCAATCTGAACTTGAACACCATTCAATTTTACACTAAGAAGGTGCTCTTGGTGAAACTTGATACTGTGTACCGTTTTCGGGATATTTTGATTTGAAAATGCTGAAGTATAACACTGATGCTAGTTGAAAGTAAGTATTATTAAATACTGTTACCTATTTATTGATAACTAAAACCAATGAGATCATTCTAATGTGGGAGTCAACAATCGAACAGTTATGAAAAAAAAAAAAAATTCAACTAAAACATGTAATATTCAATTAGTGAGTGTTCCAAGTGCATATGATGGAGCTCCCCACATTTTGATAGAAGCTCCGATTCTATAGCCTCCACGTTCATGGGATTTCAATCCATTGGACTACAAAGTTTGGTCCTATATTGAGGAAAAAGTCAATGCTGCAGAGATAGATTCCCGTCAAGAGCTGCAAGAAAGAATTGAACATCACTTCGATGATCTCATAGCTGATCCTCAACTGTTGAGAAGATTGATGCATTCTTTAGAAAGAAGGATCGAATTGTGTATTCGTGAAAACGGAGGTGATTTTGTTTAATCAATAACTTCAGCAGTAAAATAATGTTTGTTTTTTGTCCTTAATAAATAGATAATAATTGTTTTTCATTATACTTATTCTAATACCAGAATCAGAGTTATTGCTTCGGCATTTTCAAATCGAAATATTTCGAAAACGGTACACAGAATCGAGTTCTACCAAGAGCATCATTTTGGTGTAAAATTGAATGGTGTTCAAGTTCACATTGAATTTGGACTGAAGAATCTAACCTCAAAAAAGTTACGTTCAAAAGTACTCGGTACGAACTATCTAACTAGCGTTCTCTATGAGTGTCAGATATAAAAACAAATTCTGAAAAATAAATAAATTGAACTTAATAGTCCTTGTTCGGCAGCATGCATCTTTGTATAGAGGTTATTTCACATAGTAGATTTCATGGCACGTTATTGGGGGACACCTTGTAAGTTTATTCAAAAAGTGTCCTACGATTTAAAGATATTTTTCAGCTAGTAAACATTTCATCGATTATAAATAATTATAATTTTGGAATGGATAACTGAATCATCAAATTGTCCTATTGATGAAAAAAAATGAAAATGTGATCACGTCATATAAAAGTAGAAAATCTTACAATTGGGATGAATCAACATTTTGTAGAATGTTGCTCATGGACTAATTCGAAATGATTTTCTCAAAACATCAGAAAACTACTAACTAATCGTATAAAATTTAAAACAGGTCACAAAAAGTAATACTGATAAATAAAAAACATCTACTGTGAGAAACAAATAAAAAATAATTCTAGCTAAATACAAGTAAAGATAAAATTAATTAAAATAGGTACCTATCAATTTGATAACAAAACAAAAACTTTAGTTGAAGTCGTACTAACTGCTTGGCAATATATTCTGATTTCAACAATTTTACTAAAAACTTAAAACCACTGGTAATAAAATAACAAAATAGATAACATTATGTATCTACTTTCAACTTAGGTACTTTTCAATATCACATGCCATACGGCGTCTCACAGTTATAATTGGAATCAGTCTTTGGTTGTTTTTTGTATTTTTGGCTTTTTGTTCTCGGCCCCACATGGGCATCCATAAAAGTTAGGTTGTTTTTTGATCCGTTTAGAGATCCTTCTAATCGGCCACTCTGGATCATCAAAATTGTATATTTCTTCTTCAATTTTGTCTACCTTTCTTGACCTAGTGGTCCTAACTAGCTTCGTTGGTTCATCGATGTTTTCAACTTTTTTCCACCTCCTGGTTGGTACATCTATCTCCAGAATATTTGTTTTATCTCCACTCAATTTTGTTACTGTTTTTTCAGTAACATGATTCGATCTCTTTCTCGAATATGTTCTCAATGAATCAAATTTTTTGAGAGAATGAGGTTCTCTATGCATCGACTCATCATTCGCAAATGTGTTCGAAGCAGATGATGCATCAGCTTCATTAGATTCAGATACAGATACTTTTGTTGGAATGCTGATGATATCTTCCACTTCGGAAAAAAGCAAGGGTTCCATATAGCCTGCTTTTTCCAAATTTGAAATTTCCTTATTAATATCTGATTCTTCAGTGGTATGTCCCTCCTCGTCCAAAAATATCTTTTCCACTTGTGAGTTACTATCGAACGGTTCTTCAGACGAAAATTCTGCAATGATTTGAATCTCTGTATTGCTGTGACAATCATGTGGCATATTACATTGCAACAAATCTTCGAATTTTACATTGGCAATGTCAATGTTCACTGTCTTCTCGTTGTTGATGTCATTAACTTCAGCATTTTCACTTTCTTCGTTTCGTGAATGTTCGACAATATCTCGTTCTTTTCCGCGATCATCTTTCATTTGTGAGGTGGTGGTGTTATTTTGTGAAAGTTTTTCAGCTTCTTCAATCAGTTGTTTTAATGTTTTCAGACTCGCATCATTTGACATCACCGAGATATCTTTTTCTCCTGGTTCATTTTGCCTCGAGAATATATTAACTTTGTACAAGCTCCTCGACATTAGTTTCTTGATTCTCTGACATCGCAATGATTTCCTTTTCTTAGGTCTGTTTTTACATATAGTGTAAAAATTTAAAGTAGAGTGAATCAATGTTTCAACAAAACCAATTTCAGATATAGCTCGTGTCGAAGTTGAGCTCATATTCTGATCAATAACATCATTAAAAAAGGAGACGATCCTTTGTAATGCCGCTATTTTCTTCTTCGTTTCCTTACCAATTGACTCAATTACCTGGACTTTTTCATCATCACTCAATGCTGAACTTAATTCATCAGTTGATAACTCGAGCTTATCAGTTTCTTCTTTTATTATTTCACAAATACGTTCATGAATATCAGTCTCGATCATTTCATTCGGAACATTATTTACTTCTGTCAGGTCTGTTTGTTCTTTCTTATTATCAGATGATGGTCGCACTTCCTCTTCACCAGCTTTTTCGCTGGAAATGGAAACTGGCTGCAACTCCTCAACGAGTTCTGCATTGTCAGTGTCAACTGTTTCGGAGATAACAACCTCATCTGGTTTCCCGAACGTGTTCGCAAATGGATCATTGGAAATTATTTCAATCATTTCCTCTGACTTCATATCATCGTCCAATGGTTGCTGAGGAATGTTAGCCAGGGTTTCTTGATTTACTTCAACCTCGCTGGCAACTGAAGTGCTCACTATCAAGTCCCCAGATTTGACAGATGAGTCTGCGTTGACTATATTCAGATCTTCTTTTTGAGCTACAGATTCCAGAGGACTACCGCTGGATGTAACCATATCAACTACCATCTCTGATTGAGTGATGTCATTTGGAAACTGCACTTGACTGGTCGTTGAACTGTCTGATTTTGGCTCTGCTTGACCAGCATTAGTTTCAACAGGCTCTGAAACGTTCGGCTGATTCTCCGTTTCGTTGGAGCTGTCATGAGTTTCTGTTGAGATAGCTTCACTAGCTTTTCC